CTCATTCGCAGCCAAAGAACTTGCTCACTGTCTTACTATAGCTTCCTTTCATGTGGGGGTGAGTGTTCAGTTAGTGTCTGACTTGGTAAAGTTCTTATCAATTTATAGCAAAAGACAACAAGTCGGCAATTGTGGTCTCACTGGGGATGCTTGAAGCAGGGTCAACTGCACTTCCATCGGCGTGTGGATGAGAACGACAGAGTCCATGTGTCAGGTTTGGGGGGCTTCAATCGTCTTGCTGACAAGCAGAAGGAGGTGATCACTGCTACAATTGTTGCAGCAGATCAACCTGGCCCTCCTCCTCCTGATCCTAAGTCAGCAGCAGGAATTGCGCGCAAGGCCAAAAAAGCGAAGGCGCGGCGGGAAAGCAAGCAGAAGCGTTCTGACTTGGCCAAACTGGGGGAGTGTCTTGCCACAGTGCAAAGGAGACTGGGCAAGAAAACCTTTGTGAGTGATTCAATTTAACTCATTTTAATCTGACTGACTTAGTAAATAAATTTTAGGCAAACATTCTGCCTAGTTAGATATGTGGTGTGGATGTTCCAAGTCTGCTGATATGTGATTGCCAGTGTGTGAGAAAATAGGGATTCACTTGTAATGAGCTTTAATACTTTCTTCTATATATATGAAATTAATGTGTTGATCTGTGTGAAACAATACCAAGAAAAGAGGAAGTCGTATATAACTGGGCTGTTGGAGCAACAGAGAAACAGATGGCAAGCATGCGTCGGAATGACGGTGCAATGGTGCGGTGAGCATGTTTGTCCACGGGCAAAGCGATGCCCATATGGGACAATTGTGTCACTGATCTGTTCGCCTGTTGCTCCAATATAGATCAGATTAAAAGGAATGTACTTGATTATAGGTGACTAAGATATGTATATTATGCAGAGTGTAGGTAAGTAAGATACTACTTCTTGGGAGACTTCTGCGCTGTAACCTGCTGTGGGACATGGGTCGGAGTAGTTAGCACATGAGCAGGACGAAGTTTACTGTAACGAAGGTTGTGGACGGGTCGGATAATGACAGAGTGTGCATTGGATCGCACATGACGCTTACGAGGCTGGATATGATCACTTGTAGTAACACGGTGCTTAAGGTGAGTATTAGTGGAACGAATATGAGAAGACGATGCAACAGGGGCAGAGACAATAGTGTGAGAAGGACCAGGATTGTTGTGTAGATTAGGCAGCTTGATAGCAGAGACCAATTGAGCATTGACAGGTAGTGATTGTTCAAGAAGGCGTGCAGAAGCACTGGCCGTTACACGAGCCCGATGGCGGTCAAGTACCTGCTGAAGGGCATCAACAAGGGTTAGAGACAGTGGGATATTGGCCATGACAATGAATTGGGCTGTGTGGAGAGCATCAGATAACAAGCTTAATAAGCAGTGGAATAACACAAACCAGATAAGTAAGCACTTTATGTGTATAAAGGAGTGTGTTGAGTTGTGAGTAGAGACTGTATGAATGTCAGCATTGTATGAAAAAACAGTAAACAAATGCCACTTACAAATTAAGGATGGAAGAAGAAATGGGAATGGAAGCAAAGGTGAAGGTATATATGTACCAGGGTAGTTTAGGGCAGACTAGATCTGATCATTTGATAGACCAATGGGGAATGATTTGTAAGCAGACAATATATGCACAAACAGAACTTATATAAGCAAAAAAGCGGAAATTGGCACAAGCAATTGAGCAGCAGGAGTCCATCGGAACTGTGTAACCTTATGAGCATGATCTAACCTTAGAAAAGAATGTGAAACCGTGTATTAACGTGAAGTACATACAATATCCAGTCGGTTCATATGATGAAACCAGAGGAGTTGACGATATGGGCGATGAATGATACTCCAGAAAGTGGTACCGAAATCATCTTCAACGATGGTGTCAGTGGAGACAACAGGAATGGGCAGCATAAAAGGAAGTTATGAAACCAATGACAATGAAGACACAAATACGGATGAGGGTGGTGTGGAGTATGTGTACAGTGATGACTTGTTGATGGTGATGGAAGAACATGTTGATGATGATGAGTGGAAGCAAACATTAACGAGGCAGATGGAAGAAAACATTGACGAGACGGGTGGAAGAGAACATTGACAATGAGAAGACAATGATGATGGAGGGAAGAGGCATGTGACAAGTTTTGAGAGTATCATTGATGATATCGTGAAAATGTTGGTGGCGACGATGAGCAAGAGGCAATGACGAGGAGAAGATATGAGCACAAGGAGATTTGACGAAATTGAATCATTTGAAATCAGAAAAAGGCGTTGTCCCGAGGGCCCCCTCGGGACAAAAGTGCCCGAGGGGGCCCTCG